GTGGTAAGGCGCTTCAAGTAGTTTAGAGTTTTTATCTTCTGCACTCGAGGGCCTAAGTTTGATTCCCCTTTTCGTACGAAGAAGAATTTACATGTAACGGGGATGCCATCATGACGCTATCTCAAGCCTATCATGCATTGTCATGTCAGAAAGTTGCATTGACATGAAAAATTAAAACACCTATAACAATGAGTGATTGACTCATAATAGCTCCGGAGTTCCCTAGTATAAGTAAAATTTTTCTTCAAGGTGCAAGAATCATAGCCCTTAAACTAACTCAATAACAAGTTAAAATAAACAGCACTAGATAATTTAACTATAGTTACCAGTGCCAGATACATCACACATGACATCATCTAGCTGCTCTTATTATTTTTTAATCATGTGTATAATACTATAATATATGATATAACTTTCCACTCATCAATTCTCTTTCCCCCCACTTTGATGAAAGAAATAAAACAAGAAATATTTGGATCCTCTTCTTTTATGCAATTGAAAAAGAAAACATCTCCACGAGGGTGACGAAACTTTCTTAAAGAGTGAAAAATCCAAAACATAATCCGTAAAATTATTAAGTTATCCAAGATGATCCGTTTTAGCAGTGAAGACAATTAAAATTGAAATAATTTTATTTTTAATGGTTGAAACGGGTGATCCGTGGGTTGACAAAAAACAACCAGATATCATAGCTCAGGTGACTCTCAATTCCACTCGTTATCAATCCTATTCAATAAATCCCAACCCAAACTCGTAAGTTTTCGTGCAAATTTTATCATATATGTGTTGAAACAAGGGTAGAATTAGAAATTTTTCAAAGGGTGGGTTAGCTAAAAATTTTAGCTTTAAATCTAATGATATTTTTTAACTTACAATTTATATATATATATATATTCTAGAAATAAAAGTATATATTAAATCATATAACCACGTTAGTTCATAGCCCTATGAACTAATTTTTAACAAGTTTAGCATATAACAAATACAGATTAAATGCAACAAAATGGTTAACACAAGAACAATGGAGAAACCGCCAAGAAGACCACAAAACATACTTTGGAAAAATAATATTTCCCTATTCATAGAAATCGTGGGGAAACTGTCAAGAAGACCACAAAACGAGGGCCTCAACCACAAGTTGGAACGGCAAGTTGATGTGCTATATAGGTTCAACTGCTCGTGGTGTTAAAGAATACAAAAAGTATCATATCAGAAACTTAATAAAATAGAAAGTCACATATAATGAATGACTCTACTCCTAATAACATTGATGCCTTTTGTATAAAACCCTATATCTGCTAAACAAATTATTAAATTAGACACAAAGAAATAAAAATGAATAGAACCTCTATTCACAAAAATAAATAAATAACATTTGAAGTTGCACTCTTAGTTAAGATGTGTATGTTAGAGATTTTTTGAACTAATGACTTTTTTAATTGAATTGTGATGCAATTCCAAAATTTCTATTAAAAAAAAAAAAAAAAGTTGGCGGTGGAGTCAAGCTCGGCAGATGAGCCTCCTAACTTAAGGGGCAATGCTAATTAAACAATTAAAAGAAACTCTTCTTTCCTTCCTAATCCTAATCAAATTTAGAGATGGCACTGAAACCCATAAAGCAAGCACTGCTTCCAATCAAATCAAAACCCGATCTTGTTTTCTCATGTGTGAAATTAAATGGTTCTTTTTCCTTTTTGCCATGTTAAAAATCATGTTGGTTGCAGCTTATTTAGTGGTGGGCAAGGTTTCAATTGGAATTGAAAATAGTTTGCAATGGAAAAGGTGTAAAGGAAGGTATCATTGTTAGCAAAGATGAGAGTCATCACTGACATAATAAACTATAGATAAGGCATGTGCGCATTTGAAAAGAAAAAACTGATAAAAAGGACTTGACCAAATAAAATAGTTGCTGCTGGGACCGGAACGTTTGAAAAATAGAAAAACCAATCAATTAAGCAAATAATCCGATGCTAAATTATTGTTTTACAAAAAATTAACTATTGTATAAAAATCAAGCAAGGCTCCTGTTTATTTTTTATTTGCGACATAAGATAATTATAATATACTTTTATAACGGGCTAAAATTATACTCACAATAAAATTATAACACTATTAACTCTACATCAAACTCATCACGAATATATATCTTCTTTGTCATCCATTCAAACATAACTTAAGACCTCTTCTAACTAAATGAAGACAAACATCTTTAGACGAAACTGAAGTTTCAGTTCAGCAACAGTTTTTTATTTTTTTACATGCATTTTTGTTGTTGTACAGTGCTCCACTGCATCAGATGCTTAATTATCGGCTATGGCCTCATTCGCACTCCTTTTCAGGCATGTCTAAATATTTATAGATTATTGACCCAAAAAAAAAAATATTTATAGATTAAAACCTGACAGTTATAACTGATAAGGATGGTGGAGGGAAGGACATGCTTGCTTTATTGAAAAATAATAAAGGAAATGATAAGTATGGTTTGCACAAAATTCAGAATGTTAATTGGAAATTAACCAACTGAAGTGACATAGTTTTGAACAAAGACCTTCGAGAATGTGAGAACATTTAAGCCACAATACTCACATAAATTATTTTGTTTGTTGCCTTTTTAGGTTTTGTGGATTACATAATATGCTAACGATCAAATATGTCTATTTTCTCTGGCACTCGAGGTCATAAATTCGTTTTCTCCTACCTTAATATTGAAAAAGAGTCTATTTTTTCACCTAAATGGTGAAACTGATGGAGTTTTTAGTGGAGGTGAGCCAACCCTCAACATTGTCCAAGTCAAAGGGATATGGCCAGCAAAGAGCCTTACCCTTTTGCTTGTGCTCCAATAGTTATCAACATCTTTCTATCTGTATAGACCTTTCTTTCTTTCTTTTTGTCTCTGTCAAATTGTGATGTTCTTGAATTTTCATACGGGACCCTCTGATATTCACCTTTCAACATTCCATGATTAGCATCAGACTCATAACCCACAAATATGGACTGGTTGATGATATGGACATAAAGCCATTGCCTAGTGGTTGGGCAGGCTAGGGATCTATCTCACCCAATTTTCCAATTTTCCTACGTCCGTATCCTTTAGATTTGTGGACCATGTGTATTTAACTTTGCCTACCTTGGATTATGATGCTCATTTTATTCATTTATTTGTTTTTGTATTAATCTGGTTTTGGCATAATCCGTTATTTAACTTTTTTGGTAATGCACCAAAACATTAGTTGATGTATTAGTAGATAATCGATGGTTGAAAATTAATACTCCGTTGACAAAAAATAGTATTGCTCATTTCAAAGAAAAAGAAAAAATGCCGGTCAAACAAAATTAGAACTAGAAAAATTTTAAAAGAAAAAAAAAACTGACATACAACAAATTCGTGTATAATTTTTTAGAGTCCTGTCAAATCTACATGGTTATTCATAGTTATTTATATATATATATATATATATTTTAATACAAGTGATATTCTAAACTACAAAATGATGGAGGTTTCACACACACTATTAAAGTGTCATGAAGATTCGAACTTAAGACTATTGAACTAAACCCCGCTGGTCATTGATAGTTATTAAAATAAAAGACATTATTTATTTTTATATGCGCATAGGCTCTTAAAAATAGTCATCATACATTTTAAAATTTCATTTAATTTAACTAATTTTGAATAACATCTCTCTTATAAAAACGTGTTTAAAGAAAATAAAAATAAAAGGAAAGTGCATGATGACTATTGTGTGATCATAATATGTTTTTATAACTTCCAAAAAATATATATATATATATATATATATATATATATAGTACTGCTATTTCCACCCCTCTGTTCTATTTTCTCACCCACCTTACCTTCAAAATTTTAAAGACAAATTTACCCATTTATAAAATGACTTCTAAGGACTAAGGGACAAAACCAATCTCCCTCACCTAAGTGTGGGCAACCATTTTATACCAGCCATTGGATTAATCTCACAATACATAGAGCCTTTTATTAACTTAAATTCTTGACCCGCATATTGCACATAACTTCTTCTTCCTCATCTAGCCATCTCTTTGTTTTCTAAAAGCTTTCCCAAAGTTTTTCTATTTTTCCATTATAAATCTGATTTCTCTCAAAGGTATTATCATTTTCTCTGCGAAACAAATGTGGGCAAAATTAATTTTCCCTTCAAAGGCTCCTATTGTCCTTTTAAGATTTCATAAAATTCTATGTCATGAAGTTGTTTAATTTTCGTCTATTTGCTTCAAACCACAAGCGATTGGTATTATTTGATTGAGGGAGATCAACATGATAGGAGCCTGGGGACCATAAGCATTCGAACCCATGCTTTAACTTCATGTTCTTCAACTACATATGTATTAAAATAAATAAATAAGAAATTAAAGAAAACCTAAAAATAAATAAATACCCAAATCCCCTCTTCCACTGCACACAACCCCTCTCATCACAAAGCCCATGCGTCACCTCCTCCAGGATGAGAAAGAAGGACGAACTCTTGAAAGAACCACAATCGGCTTGGAGGAAAGAAAGGGTTTCCCTTAATACGAGCCAGGAAGTAAAACGGATATAAGTTGGGTTTTTGAGAGAATTTGCTTTGAATTAATAATTAAAGGGTATTTTAGGAATAACGATGGGTGGAAAGATATGATTGTGTTTTTTTTCAAATTTACATGACGGGTGAGAAAATAAGATGAGCGGAGAAATATGACAGGTGAGTGAAAATAGTAGCACTCTATATATAATTAACAACTCTTACTGAATATATGCAAGAGTTACAATTAAATAAGAAATTACATAATCTAGTAACTGATAAAGATGGAGTTAAATTTGTATTAAAAAATAACTTGATTAATACCGATAGATGTGATACAAAACGAATTTGTTTTAGTGTAAAGAAGCTACCTACCAACTCAATCTAAGAAAATCCTAAAGCTTTCTTCAGAAAAAGATAAAAAAGAAATTCAAACTTTTTTAGTTGCCTAAAAGTTCACAGTTCCCCTCCCCTCCCTTTCCGAAGCACTAAAAAAGAGGAAAACCGAGTCCCCACAACCATCTTCTTCTCTAGATAGAGAGACTCAGCAGCACACACACAGCGAAAGAGATAGAAAAGATGAGAAAAATATGAAGGCATGCTTTGTCGGCCATTGAAGCTTCAACCCAAGAGCTCTGGTCCCTTCTCTTCCAAAAGATCATTCATGCCCATCATTCCATTCCCGACTCTGAGCCGTGAGCTTCAACTGAAGGACTTGGCTTTACCTCTGTGTGTGTTGCTTTTCATAGTTTGAAAGGGTATTGATATTTCTGGAATAAAATATTCTCAACGAGATCTTTTATATGATTCTATGCACTTTGAGCTCTGAGTTTCTTGGTGCAAAAGCCGCAATAAAGGGGTGGGCTTTGAGATATTTGTGCACAAATCTTGGCCTGTAGACCGGAGATCCCCACCATTTGTGGAAAAGGCGAACTGGGTTTGCCTCACTTTTGTCTGTTGGTTCATAATTCCATGGTTTTCAGCTTGTCATTTCAGGGAGTCAGTGCCAAGAGGTGGACTTGCTGCTTGCATTATCACTTTTTTGATGAGTGATTATCATAGACTTTGAGAGGTATGCTAAAGCTACTACCTTTGTTGTTATTGGTTAATTTATTTTTCAGTTTTGGTGTTTTGGGTTGTTCTTCTTGACTGATTTGTCACTGTTTTCTCTTACACTGGTTAATTTGAATCATTCAGTTTGAGTTCTTGTTGGAAACAGTTCATAGGTTTGCTAAATTCATTAGTTTTGACTTTTGTGTTATTGGGTTGTCCCAAATGATTGTGTCATTTCTTTCCTTTTTGGTGTCTGAATTTGATTTTTAGGCTCTCTATGTTATCTATATGGGTCGCTGAGTTATCTAAATACCGAGTTTTGTTCTTTCAAATGGTTGGTTCCTTAAACTCTTGATATACGTGGATTTTGTACTGTAAAACTGGCTTCTTTAAAGGCAGTTTCTGAATTATCAAATTCTTTTGTGGTGAAAAAATCTGATTGTATTTTACTTGATTTAGTTTTACCGCATTGCATCTGAAGAGTTGTGCATTTGCAGGTGTTAAAATATCTGATTATGTTGTAGTTGTTTGTTTCAGGGTTACTAAAATGTCCAAAAAATCCGAGTTGAGGAGGGCTTTGGAAGTGGAGTTTGCAGGAATTTTACTTGCTTTGACTCTACTTGCTTCTACTTCAGAGGGGCTGAATACCGAGGGGCTGTACCTTTTAGAGCTAAAGAAAAGTATTCAGGATGAGTTTTATTTTTTGGGAAATTGGAACTCCTCTGATCAAACACCATGTGGTTGGATAGGTGTAAATTGCTCTTCTGGTTATGCTCCAGTGGTCAAAGGTCTTAATTTAAGTTTCCTGAATCTGTCAGGAGTCCTCAGCCCTAGCATTGGTGGTTTGGTTCATCTAACTTTTCTTGATCTTTCACACAATGATTTCTTGGGAGGCATACCCAAGGAGATTGGAAACTGTTCGAGTTTGGAACAACTTTATCTGAACGATAACCAGTTTACAGGCCAAATACCTGTGGAGGTGGGTAAGCTGTCAAATTTAAGAAGTTTGAATATTTGTAATAACAAAATCAATGGTTCTCTTCCAGAGGAGCTTGGGAACCTGTCTTCTCTGGTTGATTTTGTGGCATACACCAACAATATTACGGGTTCAATACCCCCATCTTTTGGAAATCTCAAGAATCTGGTAACTTTTAGAGCTGGGCAGAATGCTATTTCTGGTAGCATGCCAGCCGAAATTGGTGGATGTAAGAGCTTGAAACTGCTTGGTCTTGCCCAAAATGCTATAGGGGGGGAATTGCCTAAGGCGATTGGGATGCTTCAGAGCATGACAGATATGATTCTGTGGGGTAACCAGGTATCCGGGCCTATACCAAAGGAGCTTGGAAATTGCACTAGCCTTGAGACTATTGCTTTGTATCAGAACAATCTTGTGGGGCCTATACCTCCAGAACTTGGGAAACTGAAGTCATTGAAGAAATTGTACATCTACAGGAATGGCTTGAATGGAACCATTCCACGGGAAATTGGAAATCTTTCTTTTGCAACTGAGATTGATTTCTCGGAGAACTATTTGATAGGTGAGATCCCAACAGAGTTAAGTAAGATAAGAGGTCTAAGCTTACTGTACCTTTTCCAGAACCAGCTAACAGGTGTGATTCCAAATGAACTGAGTAGCTTGAGGAACTTGACAAAGCTTGATCTTTCAATGAATTACCTCAAAGGTCCTATTCCGGATGGGTTTCAATATTTGACTGAACTGTACCAGTTACAGCTGTTTAACAATTCTCTAAGCGGTAGCATACCTCGGTGGCTTGGACTTCACAGTGGACTTTGGGTAGTTGATTTTTCTGATAACTTTCTGACAGGAAGAATACCTCCATATCTCTGTCGACATTCCAATCTAATTTTGTTGAACCTAGAGGCTAATGATCTTAATGGAAATATTCCACCTGGAGTCTTGAACTGTAAATCATTAGTGCAACTTCGTCTAGTTGGAAACAGGCTAACTGGGAGCTTTCCTTCGGAGTTATGCAATTTGCCAAACCTTTCTGCAATTGAGTTGGACCAGAACAAATTCACTGGTCCAATTCCTCCAGAGATTAGGAACTGCCAAAAGTTGCAAAGGCTTCATATTTCAGACAATTACTTTACATCTGAGTTGCCAAAGGAAATAGGATATCTGTCTCAATTGGTGACTTTCAACATATCATCCAATTTGCTCACCGGGCGGATTCCGCCTGAAATTGTTAACTGCAAGATGCTTCAACGACTTGATCTCAGTCGGAATCGATTTGTAGACGCTTTGCCAAATGAGCTGGGAACCCTTTTGCAATTAGAGCTTCTCAGGCTTTCAGAAAATAATTTCATTGGAAACATACCAGCAGCACTAGGAAACCTCTCCCATTTGACAGAGTTGCAGATGGGTGGCAACTTGTTTTCTGGTGAAATACCACCAGAATTGGGTTCACTTTCAAGCTTGCAGATTGCAATGAATCTCAGTTTTAATAATTTCACTGGGAGAATACCACCAACGCTTGGAAATCTTAATTTACTTGAATTCCTGCTACTCAATAACAATCATTTGACTGGTGACATTCCCAGCTCATTTGAGAATCTGTCGAGCTTAATGGGCTGCAACTTCTCATACAATGACCTTACTGGACCTTTACCTCCCATCCCACTGTTTCAGAACATGGCAATTAGCAGCTTTATCGGGAACAAAGGTCTTTGTGGTGGACCTCTCGTTGGTTGCAGTGTAAATCCGTCTCTTCATTCTGTTCCATCTCTGGAAAGTGGGGGTACTCGACGCGGTAAAATTGTTACAGTAATTGCAGGTGCTGTGGGAGGTGTTTCTCTTATTCTCATTGCTATTATCTTATATTTCATGAGACGTCCAGGTCAGACAGTTCCTTCCTTGCAAGATAAAGATACTCTATCTCCTGATATGGATATGTACTTGCCTCCAAAGGAGGGATTCACATTCCAAGATCTAGTTGAGGCGACAAATAACTTTCATGAAAGCTATGTTATTGGAAGGGGAGCTTGTGGAACCGTTTATAAGGCAGTAATGAAAACTGGACAGACAATTGCTGTTAAGAAGCTATCATCGAACCGGGAGGGCAACAACATTGAAAACAGTTTCCAGGCTGAGATTTCGACTTTAGGAAATATAAGGCATCGAAATATTGTGAAGTTATATGGATTCTGTTATCACCAGGGTTCCAATCTTCTTCTTTATGAGTACATGGCAAAGGGTAGCTTGGGTGAATTGCTTCATGGTGCCTCTTGTAGCTTGGACTGGCCAACTCGTTTTATGATTGCCCTTGGAGCTGCTGAAGGTCTTTCTTATTTACATCATGACTGCAAACCCAGGATTGTCCACCGTGATATAAAGTCCAATAACATTTTGCTAGATGAGAAATTCGAAGCCCATGTAGGTGATTTTGGTTTGGCAAAAGTGATTGATATGCCTTATTCAAAATCAATGTCAGCAGTTGCAGGATCATATGGATATATTGCTCCTGGTAAGCTTCCCATTTGTTCTTCATTATCTACTTAAATAGTTACTGAATTGCCATTTACTCCGAGAATACTGCTGAAGAACAAGTGTTCTTTAAGGCTGAAAGAACTAATTTCTAGTCTCTCTAAGACCCCTCTTTTCCCTGATGATTTATTTTGGCGATTCTTTTAATGTTGGGACATCTTTTCTTACATATTGTAAAGTAAAAATAGAAATCAATTTTCCTCCATGTTGATAGATAGTGTTACAGCTGCAACTTGGTTGTTGAGGATATGTAAGAAGAGGGAAATTGAAAGTTCAAGCATTAAATTTTAAATTCTTTGTTATTTGGAAACCTCTTTCTTAGTCCCTCATTTTGTCGTTGGAACCCTTGAATAAGAACGTAAGCAGCAGAAATAATCTGGTTAGGATATTTTATTCTTTTCCTAGTCTCTTTTGGAAGGTGCCAAGGGGCCATCACCAAAGTTCAGAAGCTGTCTACAAAAATTTAAAAACTAAAGACAAAACTACACCTAGAAAAGAATTAAAAGATAAGGGAGGAGCCTTATGTGTCCCCTAGGAAACTCATTTGTGGATTGGCTTGATGTGTGCATATTGATTTATGTGTTTTTTATCCATGTACTGAGAAACATGATAACTTCTCATAAATAAATGGATATATGTTAACTTATCTACGAGGTGCTTGCCCCAATGGCTGGCTGTGGCTGACTTGTTAAATTTGTACTTTTTGGATTTTCATTTGTTTACTCTTCCCTTTCTCTCTCTGCAGTTGCTTAGTTCATTCCTGTTTATCATTTTCAGAGTCAATTTTTTTATTGAATGGTTGATAATGTTACTCTTCTTCATGGCAGAGTATGCGTACACCATGAAGGTTACAGAAAAATGCGATATCTATAGCTACGGCGTTGTTCTATTGGAGTTGCTAACTGGAAGAACTCCTGTACAGTCACTAGATCAAGGAGGTGATCTTGTCACGTGGGTGAGGCATTATGTTCAAGACCATTCATTGACATCTGGGATACTTGATAGTCGGTTAAATCTTCAGGACAGAAGTATTGTTGATCACATGCTTACTGTCTTAAAAATTGCTTTGATATGCACAAGCACGACGCCTTTCGACCGTCCTTCAATTCGAGAAGTTGTGCTGATGCTTACTGAGTCTAATGAGCAAGAAGGGGACTTTATTCCATCTCCAACTTATGATCTTCCTTTGAAAGTTGATACAGATCTTCCGAAGGATGATGAAGATCTTCCTTTGAAAGACAACACCCGACATCCTCCTTCGAAAGATGATACTCGATGAAAGTATACGACACATCCCTAGATTTTAGTAACTCAGATGATTTTTTTGGGTGCTGATTCTTCCTCGAATTATTTGCAACAAGGAAATGGTAATAGCTTGTACATTTTTCCAACTAGAAATATGAATACTGGAATTTTCCTTTCTAATTTATGAGGGTATTTAAAGTTGCTCTCAAAGTTTGTTTCTTTTCTTACTATACAGTGTATACAGTATAGTAAAAATCAGAGTACAGTTATGCTATGTGCATTTTAAATGGCATTATGTTCACTTTTAAATCTTAATCCATTGAATAACAAAGAAGCCTGAATTTAACTTTTGTCATCAATTCAAAACTACAGATTTTGTGGTCACGTTTTGTAATTTGATTTTTCTTTCTTCATAAATTTAAAAATAAGAAAAAGTAGGCTTGGGCTTCAATGGGGCACAAGGCCTGCCCTGAAGTGATCAGTATTTCCCCAATCCAAAATTTTCACAAACCCAATCAACTTGGCGTTGCCTTCAAGTTTGAATCCAAAAATTCGAACTCGAACCGAATCGGACTGATCCAAAACTTCCACTTGGTATACGCATATTCATTAAGTACATTCTACAATAAAGTGAAGAGAAGTAACGTTATATTAATAGCAAGTTGAAATCCATCCCGCATTTAGTTGTGGCCTATAAACTACAACTTGCTAGATATAGTGCAGTCACGTGAATGAGCTAGACCATGGTATTTGTTTGCAGTTTATTATCATAGGGTTTGATGTAACGCAAGGTTTAAAGGGATTGTATACAAAACAATTACATTACCAATTGCAAAGCATCAAACTTTAAATTCAAAATCAATGTACTGGATAAAATCAGCATTCTTGCACATTCATAGCCTGGAATGGCCTAGGGGTTGATGAACTTGCCCGACTGGACCGGCCATGGATAACAATTCTGATCATGAAAACAAATGCCAAGAAAATAAACAGTCCAATAACATTTGCTACATCCATCTCTATCTGCTCTGTAGACATCGTAGTAATGAAACTCTCTTGACCATCTAAAGCTGCAAAAGAACAGTGTGGTTCCAAAAATATTTTGCCTAAAACGAAACTCAAAGCTCTCCCCAGGATGAAGTACGCGATCGCCAAGATCATCGTCCTTGGATTTACAATGAACAACGAGGTCTCCGTAGACTCCCAAGGCGTTGGTGATTCGGACAGTTCTTTTTTTAGGAAGGAGACCAGCCTCAACGGATATTATGAGAGCTACTAGCATAAGCAGAATCAGAGGAAGAACACTTGACAAATATCGACTCATTTTTTTTAACGTGGGAAAAATTTCGAGATGTGTACATATGGTTGAGTTTAACCTTATATAAATTCATAATTTGCATCCTAGACTATTTCAGTGAAAGGTGAATTTGAAGAGATGGTGGGTACATTCTTTTGGCATCCCACCACCTCTGAGAATTTAACGTTCCATTATAATGATCAAGTAATTAGTAGAACTGTTACATAAAAATACCCTAAACGCTCTCCAAGAAGAAAACCCTAAGGAAAGAAACCTCAGCCGCCTCAGCTACATAAAAAAAATTAATTGTCGTCAATAATTATTATCGCTTTTTCTATAAAAAAAAAAAAAGAAGAGAAGGATAAAAAAGAAAATCCCCTCAAGAATTGATTATTGAAGAGATGAAATTATTATTTAATATTCATGATGAACCAGAATTACAAGGTGTCATGATGGTTGAGTTGTTCAATATAAAATCTTACTGAAGTAGGGATACTAGCTCAAGAATTGATTTATGAGTCATGCCACAGAAAGCACTGACCATACAAACACGGGCCAACTTTTTTAACCGTCCAAAAGCATTTGCTACATTCATCCCTTTTTTGAGAGTAGATATCAAAATAGTGAAGTTTGGGATCCCCAGGCCATCGAAATCCGCAGAAGAATAGTGTGCTCGTCTGAAAAAAGTTTCGGCCAAAACGAAATTCATATGTCTCCCCCGGATGCAGCAGGTGCTCGCCGAGATCGTCGTCCTTGGATTTACAATGAACTGTGAGGTCCAGTATGTCTTCCAAAGTGTTGGTGATCCGAACCGTTATCTTTTTAGGTGGGTTAGACGACTCAACTACTGTTGTCATATGAACAACTAGTAGCAGCAGCATCAGCGGAAGAACACATGTTGCAGTGAAAGATGGACTCATTTTGCTCGGGGGGAGAAAAGGTTATTTTTCTCTCTATTTTATAGTGAGTGTCCAAGGCGACATGTAATTCATAATTCATTTGTTTATGGTTCATCCAACCTAGAATGAGTAACTCATTTCCTAATTGATGATTGTTCAGTGTACCTGGTAATAAAGATGCAGATTATTTTTTCCAATTTCCATGTATGAATGCCATTCGAATTCAAAAGGTTGGTCCCAGAATTCGACCCCATTGGAAAGAAAAAACAACCAAGTGTGGCATAAATTTTGTAATTTCTATATTAAATTAAAACATATTCAATATATTTTCTTTTTTGTTGGATCTAAATATTTAATGTAATTAATAATAAATGTAAGGAGAATACAATTTCACCTAATTAGCATAGAGTGCTGCTATTTCCACCTCTCTGTTCTATTTTTCCACACATCTTATCTTTCCACCCACCATGTAAATTTGAAAAACCACAATCCTATCTTTCCACCCACCATTATTCCTAAAATACAATTTAATTATTAATTTATGCAAATTCTTTATATTTTTTAGTGGAAACGATGTATTTATTTCAATAAAACTGAAACCGATATCCTCCTCAACCAACAAGTTCTTGATGAAAGCAGGAGGGGTCCTTATCCCATGAGAACATGTCAATTGATGAAATAGCGAAATATGCAAGACTATGTGCCATTGTATTGGCATCTCTAGAAGCAAAACAAACTGAAAAATTTTTAGTTGCGGAAACAAAAAAACGAGTCTTTAATTGACACTCCTATTGATGAGTTGTCTGCAATGTGCATGAGCACATTGAACAGCTTCCGTGCATGAGCAGAGTGCAACTTCAGCAGCTTTTATGGAGTTTTCCGGCGACCGGAGGTGCAGGTGCACCTCCTTGCGCTTGCACAGGTCCGCCAATTTTGGCGCGTTGGGGACATGGAGTGAATATGTGGCGCTTTCTATGTCATGTTCCGGAGGAAGATTAGTGGCGTTTGTTCTTCCTTTTGTCGGTGTGTTTTAGATTTTTAATCTTTGTCTTTTTTCGGTCAATAAAGTCCAAATATTCTATGAGTATTTTGTGTATTTTTTTCTCTCATAGTGCCAGAAACTAATTAGTTGAGTTGGATGGGTGTTCTTTGTCTCTTTAGGAGAGTCATATTTTTTATTGGCAAGTTTTGTCCTTGATGTCATTGGACTAGATTCGAGAGAAATATGATGGTAAAAAGGGGTTATAGAAAAGTTATTATCGAGAGTGATTCTCCAGATTGTTTCAGCTTTTCGGTTGGCTCATGTCATTAGGGAAGTTTTTACCCATGTCTGCCATATTGCTATTGGGATGACTCCCTTTACTATCTATATCTTTTGTACTCCTTTTTCTTATGAATTTAATAGAATTCTATCGTCTTTTTATAAAAAAATTACAATACAATATGGCTGGTTTAAACGACACTATTTAAGAGGCCTTTTTATTTTATTTTATTTAAAAACGTGCCCCGAGTATTTTTTGGATAAAAAGGAAGTAGTTAGGATTATACCATTAAAGGACTGAACATGCCAAAAGCAAAATGGAAAGCTACATTAGATAGTGTCGTCGTGCCTTCCCTTTCAATTATCACATGTATTGTACATATTTCTAATTCATTTTCATTCCATCCATGGAGTAAGAATTTAATTTGAGGCCTCTTCGTTTGGGAAGAATGAAAAGCATGAATTTTTGAATATTTTTTGAATATAAAATGCTTATAAACGAGACAAAAATAGCCTTGTTATGTATTAAAAAAAAAAAAAAAAGAAGAGAGAGAGAGAGAGAGAGAGAGAGAGAGATTAATGATCATAGTATTCGAAACAATGGAACTGTTAATTATTCTAAATGAAGAGATCTGTGGAACAAGTTCATATTATTGATGTAGACGGTAGATAACTAATAACTAGGTCGTGGGTTCCATGGATAGCAAATGTCGTATAGCCTGGTCTTGTAGTTGAACAAGCATCCGCCATAGGGTACTATAACCCACATACAAATGTCACACCTATCTTGATCTCTTTTCTGTATGTATATGTCAATATAGTGAGATGCACCCGGCCACTCCACCGAGCAAAAGTATTGTGTTGTCCACCACATGTTGGGTCGAAATACAAATTCATAGGAGATGAGAGGGGGGAGGACATGGGCACCAAGATCATCGTCTGCGGATTTACAGTGAATAGTGAGCGTCAAGTCTCCGCCCAAATCATTAGTAATGTTCACATGTGTCACATTTGGAAAAGCTCCTACATTTGGAAGAACTCCTGCATCACACATGGTTAAGGACCAAACAAACACAAGCAGCGCTAGCAATCCTACATTCCTAGTGAACAAAGCCATGATGACTGTTTAAACTTTGGATAGGTTTTGCTTTCTTTTCGCCAAGTGAATTTGAGGATGGCTAGGCTTTGTGTGTGGTTGCCACTTATATACCGAGGTAATTACTATTATCCATTTATGATATTATACCATTTCTATACATGATATATTATACCAATTATAGATTAATAGGGTTAAAAACAATTGTGATGCATGAACTCTTCAATTTTAAACCAATGTGGTCCATATTCATTGACAGTATTGTTCAACTGGTATTATTCATATGACAAAGTGGCATGTGTAGGGTCCCACAAACAACTGCTACACTTCTTTTTGTCTCTCTCCTTTGTTTGTATATTGTGAACTGCTGCAATGGTGACTTGAGGTTCCCCAAATGCCTGGTCGCAGGGGCGGTGCTACGCCAAGGGCAAGGTAGGCTGCTGCCTACCCCAAAATTTTCAAAAATAAAAAATACTCATATAAAATAGGGCAACTTATGTGAAAAATACAAATTTATTCCCATTCAAAAAGCAACCCACATATCTATATATAAAGCAAAAGGTAGAGAACGGTGAAACATTCAAAATACCAGAAAATGCCCTTAGTTAATTCAAATATTAAGAATTAAAATTATTAGTTAAATGAGGATAATATGATAAATTCACACATTTTCATATTAAAAAAATTAAAATTAAAAGAAAAATAAGATAATAAATACTATTTTTCAGAAACATAACTACCCATTATTATTTTTAATTCTAAAATAAATTAAAATTTTAAAAAAAGAAAAAAAAAGCCTCTCACAGGCGCGGAAGCGCGTGCGGAGAGGCTAGTATGCATAATCTAAAATTTTCCTCTTTAATTATCTTCTCTTTAATTATTTCCTCTTTAATTATCTTCTTTTTAATTACCTAGATTGTCGTCCCTGGATTACAATGGATAGTGAGGTCTAACTCTGGAACTAAGTTGTTGTAAATCCAGACCACTGTTTTTTCCGGAAAAAGGCCAGTACTAGATTTTCTACTAATATACTCAAATAAATGCAGATCCGTATACTATGGTATTAAATTGGGCTAGCAAAATGCGGATTAGTATACTACGTTATCTGGGCTTGGATGGTTTTCTGTGGGAGCCTCTGATTTTTTGCTTAATTCCTTGTGGGTCTTTTGGCATGTTAGTGTGTTTTCTTGTTTGATTTGCATTAATTTGAAAAGACTATAACGACATCTTCAATAGAAAAGTCAAAAGTAGAAGGGACAACATCAGTGAGTAATCCCACATCATTCAGAGTGGATTTTAAGACCTGTAAATCCTGAAAGATGCAAAATGAGAATGAGCAAGATTAGTGAGCAATCCTACATCGTTAAGGAGAGAAAGGTGAAGTGGCACATATGTGAGTGCACTTGACTTTCTAGTGATCGAGAGGTCTTTTAGACAAGATAACATAAGCGAGTGTAGGAACAAAACGGTGAGGGTTCATGCCCTTCAATGTATCTAACTATCGACTAAATACAAAAAGAGTATCTTAAAAATATCAAATATAATTGTCTAATAAAGGCTCGTTTAGGAGTGATTATCAAAAGAATATATGAAAATTATCAATATCCATCGTATATAAGATATTCTAAATTTTTACCCGATACGAAATAATCTACTTTCATTCACAAATTGAAAACAAAATTTCAACATATAGAACAAAACAATAACGAACGAATTCCTTATATTAATTCCAAAGCAACAAGGCTCCCATACATTTCTTATTATGAGCAGAAATCCAATTAGCTTTTGTAATGTTCATTATTTTAGCAACACTATTAGCTCATCTGTGGTGGTGGTTTAGGCCACTGAAGAGAGATATCACTCTCTCCGACATTGTAGTCTCTATAACCATAAACTCCACCCTCAGTCACATTCCAAATGCAGTTTGTGGGGCACCTACTCTTATCCCTATCAGCAACATACATGTCAAAGACTCCAAACACGTCCTCCAAACGACCCTGCGGGTAGCGTCGAAAATTTATAGCACAATTCAAAAGCGTGACCCCTCCAAAGCGAAAACTCCAGTCATAGGCAGTGTTGCAAGCTATTTCATAGACTCCCAAGTCTTCGGTATTTGTTTTACAGTGAATTGTAAAATATTCCAAAGCAATTGGAAGATTGTTGTTGATATGAACAGTGGTTAATGGTGGGTCTGATGCCAAGGTTGCTTGGTTTCTTGCAGAGATGATTGGCAGATTCCAAACAGCAATGCACAACACAAGCAGAAAGACATGTTTGCTAAGAAGAGGATTGCACATTTTTAGGTTCTTTTTTTTCTTTCTTCTTCTTTTGACTTGGTGATTTCAATGGCTATCACGCATTTGCATATTTATGCAACAATTGTAAGGGTGGTAAACAATTTGAATCCAGTTTCTTTTTTATATAACATATGTGGTAAATCCAATTTAATACATTCCCATTAGGTGTGCGAATCATCATTCTCTTATTCTGAGTTTTGGAAATGCTGGGGTTATGCTATATTTGGTCCAACTGAATTCAAAATCCATATTCCACATGTAATTTTATAAGGAAATATTAATTTGATCCTTTGGTATAGTATTATTATAGGAAAGAATCCATATGTATTATTTCCATTATTATAGGGCTCTTAAATTTGCTGAGTTGGATTATGTAGTTGGATAGAATTCATAATCCTAGTCAAATGTTTGGTGGCAATTCTATCAAAACATTGGGATTTAGTTGGTGGATTGGATTATGTCTAATCGTACTAAGTCATGTAATAGCACATTTTAATTAATTCAACCCCTTAATCCTGTGTAGTACCCAATGTCTAAAATATCGATAGTCCAAAAACACAGAAATTTCAATGGAAATATTGGGATATTAGTCAATTATCTATTACTTTATCACAAAAAATTAGAAGGAAATTATCGACGTCGATATTTTTCGATATTATTATCGATATTATCGATATTTATACGATATGTGTATGGATATGTTCCAAAATATCATAGACCCGAAAAAGCGATAATATCCTCGATATTTTGTCAATATTATCGATATTGTAGTCCTTGGTAGCACCAAACATATCATTGGATTAATGTTATTGTTTCCAATCCAATGCAATCCAATTATACCTCATAATCCAATCAAATCCAATCCTAATCACCAAACAAGAGGAAAGAATTCCCATGTATTCTTTCCATTATTTTAAAAGAGATACTTATTCAGAAACCAATTTTAGCATGACATATTATACAAAAACCCATATAGAGCATATTTGGAGAGAACCAAAAATTTGCCACTTGTAATTTTCTAATGGTTCTTAATGTGTTAAAATTTTATAAAAACCAATTAGAAAATGACAAGTGGCTAAGGGTTTTCTCTCCAAAAAGACTTTATAAAGGTTTTTGTATAATGTGTCATGTTAAAAATACCCACACCTATCACATCACATTGGATAAAATGAGAGATGTAAAAGCGCCCTTTTTTTTTTCTCTGAGGGAATAACTTCCACAAAACCCAGAAAACGGGGAAAAAGGAACAAAACGTAGGAACCCAAAAACGGGCCAAAGAACAAAAATAGAGAAAGTACATACACTTAACCACACAAGTCTAATATAAAAATAATTTCCCGCCACTTTCAAACCGTTTTCCATTCTCTTAATCAAGTTTAATTAAAGACTAGCCCTTTGAGCACATGTGCTAATTGTTTTTTTTTCTTTTTATTTTTTAGAATTAAGAAAAGATAACATGGATAGTTATGTTTCATAAAAGTATGACCTATTATTTGAATTTTTTTTAATATGAAAAAATGTGAATTTACCATATTATTTTTATTTAATTAATAATTTCAATTCTTAATGTTTGAATTAACCAAGAGTATTTTTTGGTATTTTGAATGTTTCACCATTCCTTGTCTTTTACTATATATATATATATATAGAAGATAAACAGTAGGATGCACGTGTACAAATTCAGAAGCTTACAAACAGTAACTCGTGTACAAAAAAAAATTCATGCCAAATCCAGCGACCCATCAGGAAATGGATATACGGGGATATTTAGAGACGAACAGGTGGGTCAAAAGCTGAGCGGTGGTCCACCTCTTTTCGGACTCCTTCTGCAAGCAACACTCTATGAAACTCCGAAACTCCTCTGACACCCCCTCGGGCAAGCTCGGCCGCTCTCCGAAACATATGGCGCACATAAGCGTGGCCCAGTCGGGTTTCTGACCCGGAGGCAACAACGGAAAGTGACCCATGTAAAGCTCCATCAGGGTCAGCCCTAGGCTCCATATGTCACCGGCGTAGCCGTTGTAATTGCCGCCGTAAGTATACGGGTCGAATCTTTCTGGGCTCATGTAAGCGCAAGTACCCACGTAGGAATTGCAGGCGTCCAAGGTCCGGCACAGGATCTTTCTCACGCCAAAGTCGGCGATTTTCATTTCCATGTTGCTGTTCACCAAAACATTGGCGGGTTTGATGTCGCGGTGGATGATCTTGTTGTTGTGGAGGTAGTTGAGGCCGTTAAGAACTTGGCTGGCGACGTGGGCAAGATTGGGCTCGGAGAAGGTGCCTTGGGCTTTAAGCAAGGTCTCAGGGTGCCGGAGTCCATGTACTCCAGGAGGATGCCGATATCTCCCGACGGCTTCTCAAAGATAGCGTGGCAGCGGATGATGTGGGGTGTTAGAAAGTAAATGTATTTTAGATAGGAAAGAATTTGTAATTGATTCATATACCCAATCCTTCCCTAGATGGAATTCCTAGATTGTAGGATTCCTTAGTGTACAAGGAAAACTCGTGTATATATATCTCTATGTTATTAATGAAAGATTATTCAAGCCAAATATATTTTCTACAG